AGTTCGCTATGCGGTCATCAATGCCGCCAAGAGCCCGTCGACCGACAAGACACCCGTCGTCGGCGAAGCGTTCGAACTTGGCGCACTGGATAGCCCCTTGCCGGAGAACCTTCCCAAGGCCGATCTCTTGATCATCTCCAGCGATGTGGAGAAGATTGACAAGCGCGACCAGTTCCTTGAACGAGTTCTCAGCCTCACCAAGCCAGAGGCGACGGTTCTTATTGCTGCCAAACAGCAGCCTACTCCTGGTGGACTGGAAGCTAGAGGCTATGACTTTGTCTTTGGAGTTGAGGGAGATGAGCGCCTCGCGCTGTACTGGGGTGCTAGGAACGCGGATGCGAAGCTCGCGGCCAACGGTACGCCTGCTCGGCAGGCAGTTATCATGGAGCCGACGACCATGTCCACGGATTCTCGACAATTCTCAAAAGCTCTACAAGAAGCGCTCATTGCTCAAAGCTACGCAGTGTCAACGAGGACTCTGGCCGACGAGCCGAAGTCTGGTGCTGCAGAGAGCGAAGTTCTCATTTCTTTGTTGGAACTTGAAAAGCCGCTGCTCGACGACCTGTCGGAGAAGGAGTACGAAGTTGTGAAAAGCCTATCTCTGGCTTACCAGCGTCTTCTCTGGATCACTTGCGGCGACAACCCATCATTCGGCGTGATTGATGGTTTGTCACGCTGTGTCGAGAGCGAGATCGCAGGCACTCGATTCCAGGTTCTGCATCTGAGTCAAGAAACGGGCCTGCAACATGGCCCGGCCCTGGCATCTCGCATCTTATCTTCAGAAACCACAAAGGACGATGAGTTCCATGAATACGATGGTGTCTTGCAGGTAACCCGCATTTACAGGAGCTTAACCGAAAATGACTCCATCAAGCATCACTTGCACGATTCGACCCGGGTTACTTCTGTCGGCGCTGACGAGGATTTGAGGCTCTCAATCGAGAGACCTGGTCTGTTGGACACACTGCAGTTTATTGAGGACGACCGGCTGAACACCACTCTTGCAGACCATGAGGTGGAGATTGAGGTGAAGGCCACAGGCATTAACTTTCGAGACATCATGGCCACTATGGGCCTCATTCCCATGTCTGTCTTGGGACAGGAAGGCAGCGGCGTCGTTGTCAAGACTGGTAGTGAGACAAGCCGCTTCAAGCCCGGTGACCGTGTGAGCTTCCTGGGCGTCGGTACACACGCCACCAAGATCCGGGTTGACCATCGCATTGTTGCTCATATTCCCAACACCATGTCCTTCGAGGAGGCCGCTGCCTTGCCCGTCGTTCATACCACTGCGTACCATGCCCTTGTCAACCTCGCAAAGCTGACTAAAGGCAAGTCGGTTCTGATCCACGCTGCCGCTGGTGGTGTAGGCCAAGCGGCTGTCCAAATTGCTCGTCACCTGGGTCTGATCGTCTATGTCACTGTTGGTTCCGAAGATAAGCGGAAGCTATTGGTCAACACGTATGGCATTCCCGAGAAGCACATTTTCAATTCTCGCGATGCCAGCTTCGCAAAAAGTGTGATGCGCGTCACGAATGGTCGTGGAGTTGACTGCGTCCTCAACTCACTCTCCGGAGAGCTTCTTCGGACATCGTGGGAGTGCCTGGCTACCTTTGGCACCTTTGTCGAGATTGGGCTCCGCGACATTCTCGACAACACTCGGCTTGACATGAGACCATTCGGGAAGAGCACGACGTTCACCTTCTTTAACCAGTTCACGCTCTACGAGGAGGATCCCGCTGCGCTAGGACAGATCCTCGACGAGGCCTTCAAGTTGGTCCATGAGGGTACGCTCCGTGCTCCGAGCCCCCTAACAGTGCATTCCACGGGCCAAGTGGGAGACGCCTTTCGCACTATCCAGCAAGGAAAGCACCGCGGTAAGATGGTTTTGTCGTTTACGGATAACGCAGAGGTGCCAATCTTGCGCAAGGCTAAGAACTCCCTCAAGCTCAGCGCTGATGTCACATACCTCCTTGTTGGTGGCCTCGGTGGTTTGGGCCGCAGTCTGGCGCGGCAGTTCATCGCCTGTGGCGCTCGAAACCTTGCCTTCCTCTCAAGATCTGGAGACGCCTCCCCAGATGCCAAGGCTCTGATCAAAGAGCTATCCGATATGGGCGCCAACGTCAAGGCCTACCAAGGTGACGTGTCAGACCCAACTTCGTTCCGGGCCGCTCTGGATGAATGCGAGCGAGAACTTCCGCCCGTCAGGGGTGTGGTCCAAATGGCTATGGCTCTCCGCGACATCGTCTTCGAGAAGATGTCTTACGATTGGTGGAAGACTGGGCTGAGACCTAAGGTGCAAGGCACATGGAACCTTCACGAGTACTTCAACCATGAACGCCCCCTGGAGTTCTTCATCATCTGCTCGTCCATCTCCGGTATGTACGGCTACCCTAGTCAGGCACAGTACTCCGCCGGCAACACATACCAAGACACTCTGGCGCACTACCGTCGGTCACAAGGGCTCAAGGCCGTATCAGTCAACCTGGGTATCATGCGTGACGTTGGCGTGTTGGCAGAGCAAGGAGCCACAGGCAACTTCTTGCTGTGGGAAGAGACCTTGGGCATTCGAGAGCCGGCATTCCATGCACTCTTCAAGGGCCTCATCAATCGGCAGAAGAGCGAAAACCCGGCTTCATGGCCACCAGCTCAAGTGACAACCGGCTTGGGCACTGCAGACATCATGGCAGCACACGGCCTCGATCAGCCGGGATACTTCAGCATCCCGCGTTTCGGACCTCTGGCTGTGACGAGCTCAGCGACAAGTGCTTCGGGTGTTGGAAAGTCGGATACGGTTTCTCTTTCTTCACGCTTATCTGAGGCGAGTAGCAAGCAGCAGGCGTTGGAGATTATCACAGAGGCTCTGGTGAAGAAGGTGGCCGACATTTTGCAGATGCCCGTGTCGGAAGTCGATCCGGGCCGGCCTATGTACCGCTATGGTGTTGATTCTTTGGTTGCGCTCGAGGTCAGAAACTGGATCACTAGGGAGATGAAGGCAACCGTGGCTCTTTTGGAGGTCTTGGCTGCGGTTCCTATGGAGGTCTTTGCAGCCAGGATAGCTGACAAGAGCAAGTTGGTGGCGTTTGAGTGAATAATTCGCATGGGCACGGGACTTGGGCCGGCGTTCAAAGGATGACACAAGGGTTTAGGAAAATGGGTTGGCGTTTACTTTATACTCGGGCTGAGGATTGTTTTGATGGACTTTGATAGAAAATCTGGAATATTTGTGTGCAAGCAATGGCTTATTTCCCCCTGGCACCGGGGTCATTCATGCTCGCCGGCTCTGTTAGGTTTTTGTCCATCTCTATTGAGCCCAGCTGTACCGCGCAAGTACCACGAAGCATAGGTACTTAAGTAAGAATAGGCCCACATCGACACAAAGCGACGTAATCTGTTCAATTCTGGTTTGATTTGATGAATCTGGTAGTCAACCAGTGAGAGACAATCTGGAAGTGTCCTTCGTCACGACTATGTGGTGCTGAATTATGAATCTCTGGCAAGGACAGACGGACACCCGGGCCTGGAATTGCTTCGCCTAAAGTATCTTGACAGTGCCACCATTTGCGCAGATCACGCTCCCACTGACCCATCGACTCTTCTCAGATGACAGAAAGCCTACGATTTCAGCTATGTCATCGACTCTCCCTAACCTCTTCTCTACACTGCATGCGTTTTTCTTTGCCTCGAGAAAATGGCGGATCTCGGGGGTATCCGGCATTTGTGATGCCAATTCGGTTTGCGTAACTAGTGGAAGATGGTCAGGTTGAGATATGAAGGCTTTTGGCAATTTTCGGTTCAAGTAGGCTGTGAAAAACTTACTGCCAACAGCAACTGAGTTCACTGTAGTCCTCTCCATCCCAGGCTTTATCCCCAAAGCGTCAGCCCATACGCGAGTCATCGATTCAATAGCGCTCTTGCAACCGCTGTAAACCACTGTAGTCTCGATCAATCAGAACCAAAACATCAGATGCAGGTGAGCCAGGAAGCAGTAGCGGAAAGGAGCAAAGCTACGTACGAGCAACTGGAGAAGGATCCCGGCCACCTTCAGAGGAGATATTAATGATTCGGCTTTCCGGCTGGAAATACGGTAGAAGTGCCTGCACGAGAAATACAGGTGCTTCAATATTGGCGGTAAGCAAGCGATCAATGTGGTCCTGAGTGATCATGCCCACTGGCGCGACCTCCACGACCGCGGCGTTTTGCACAAGTATGGTCAAGCTCCCATACTCTTTGACGGCATTGACGATGGCAGTGCAGTACTCTCGAGGCTCTAGTAAAGACGCAACCACGCCTTTAATCTGAGGTACAGAACTCTTACTAGCATTTCTGTACCGGAAATCTACCTCGGCTCTCAAGGCTTCAATTTTGCACAAGGACGATGGCACAGAGCATGTTCCGATGACATTCGCACCACGGCTTGCGAGGTGAACGGCGATGCCTCGTCCAATGCCGCGCGAAGCACCCCTGGGAAATAAGCCGCGCATTAGCAGAAGAAGCCACAGAGAGAGAATGACCTGGTGATTCAACGATAAAGAAAAATGAAGAAACATACGTTACGATTGCCACTTTTCCAACCAGGTCTTGCTCTGAGATCTTGATATTTGCAAGATCATGCTCCATATTGCTGGTGATTTAGTGATTGTGAATGTTGATGAAGACCGAACCGGTGGTGGGTATGATCGAAATTCCTTATGCTCAAATATGGGATTCGTCAAGTGCGACAGCAATCAGTCAGCCTTCCATGCAGTGGATGGGCAACTACCGCTGTTCCTTCACTACTTAGCACTTTCAAAGGCCAGTGTTAAACGCTGAGATGCTCCGAGAATGTCCGGCTTAGCAGCAAAGGCCCGGTGCTGGTTCCGAAACGCCCTCCGGTGCTGAGACCAAATGATTCAAGTTCCACAGCGAATGCCAACTGACAGCTCTTCGGATCATGTTCAAAATCAAAGGTTCGAACCTCAACTGAGCATTTATATCGAATAGTCAGTTCTAAGATTCATAAACTAGACTCTCATCTGCTGTTTGAAAGCTTCCATATCCAACAAAGTGACACTTGTGTGCATTTTACCCTCGTCGAACCATACGAATACATGCTCTGTAAACTTGACTCTTTTACCGGTTGGCTCTATTCCATTCCAAGCCTTAACTGGTGTCCACTCAAATACCACTCTGGCTGCAAGTTGCTGTTTCCCCTCATCAACAATAAGCTTCTCGAGCGTGTTCTTGCAATCCGCCATGACGTCGTGACACTCTTCCATGGCTCCTCTATACTGTTCGCGGGTTACAGAATGTCCATTGAACGTAATGTGATCGTGGGTGAATTTCGACAGGTTCTCTTCCATGGTCCTGGTAGAGACGCAGTTGAAGTATGCGCGGTACGCCTCAGCGAGACAGAACCCTGGAAGGGGAGCTTTAGCGCTCCAGCTTGGAGGACAGACCGCCTGCGATTCGCTGTTGCGTAACGCATCGACATCGTCTATAACCTTGATGTTGGAGACAGTGGTGCCCTGAACTTGGCAGAAAACGTGTCGGCGGAATTCGATTGTCGCAGTGGTGGTTGAAGTAGGAGAGAAGCCTTTGCGTGAAATCCGCACGAGGAGGATTGCAGCCAAATCGCCAGTAAAAGCGTCGCCAATTTGGTGAAGAATGGTAATGTTCACGTCACTTGCCTCTTCGAGGTGCTCGAAGCCGGCCGGCAAGCTCAAAAGCTGAGAGGATGAGCGCCCAGTAGACGAGAACTTGGCCATGTTCCCGTCGGGGAGTCGGCGGTTGAGGCACTCTGCATACTCTTGGAAGATGGATTCGATGGCCGCCATGTTTTTTTGGGGGGGAAGTTTATTCTGAGGGAATTCTTGACAGACACAAGGAGAAAGATGCACTACACGAAGTACAGGCTTGGGCAATTTTCTTGGTGCGCAAACTTGAACGAAGAAATCAGCCTTCACAACTACGTACTCCACTAAACCGCCAATCTCGAGAGAATACAAGACGCTCAGAAACGGAACGTGAACTCTGAGTCAAGATTTATTTGACCTCCGCTCCAAGGTCCGACCTTGCAAAAAATGCTCGGAGCTTTCGGAGATCATCGTGGGAGCATGGGCCTCAGAGGCAGTTCGGACCCGGCTTTCCAGCGGTCGCAAGCTCATTCCGACTGGTCCCGTCTGCTATCCGAGTGCTCATCTCTGCGGTTGCTCGCCGATTGCTTAGGGTACACCTCGGAGTCGTCGAACGTTTTGAAACAGCTCTTGAGATACTCTCTACAGTCTCTCCTTTAGAAGTCGAACCAGGATTCAAGGAGGCAAGGAGTCAGCCTAGGAACAGACCATCTCTAAGTGGAACAAGTAGGCATGGTCACAGATGGGTTCGGCACTAATACAAATGCTCGAACTTGAGAATGGTATCTCAGGGCCCATAATCTGAATGATTCCACTCTCATCAATTTTGGGAAACCAATATGCTCTACTCTCTACCACAAGACCTTCATTTCATAGACGGTCCACGAATTGCCAGTTTCCAAGCATTAGAAAAAATGTCAGAAACCTCAACTCAGACTCAAACAAAAAAACTGGACACAGCAAAAGGTGCAGATGCATACAATCCAAGCAACCTGAAAACCTACGACACTCTCGTCTTTGGTGTCGTTTCACCTTACGGCTGGAATTGTTCGGCCGAAAAACTCATTTCCTTCTTCAACCGCAATATAGCTCGCGCTGCAGAGCCGTATAAGTCCAACCCGGGAGGTCCTCCACTCACTCGGATCCTCGACATTGGTGTTGGCACAGGATACTTCCCCGCAAGAGCTCCTTTGCCCAAATGGACCGAGTACGTTCTCGTCGATCTCAACGAGACGTGCCTGGATGTTACTCTGCTCGTCATCGAAAGGGCACATCCAGAGGTCGGCACCAACGCTACGAAGGTCGTTGGCGACTTCCTGGCTCAAGGTGACGATTCGAAAAGCTTGTTTGCGAAGGGGAATGGTTTGCCGGAAGGCGGCTTTGATGCTATATCTCTCATGTTCTTGCTGCATTGCTTGCCTGGCCCGCCGGCACGCAAGGCGGAGGCTTTGGGACGCATGGGTCGCTTGTTGAGGCCTGGAGGGGTCGTGTTCGGGGCTACTATTTTGGGTAAGGGGGTGAGCCGTAATCCGTTGGCGCGCCTTGTATTGTGGTTGAATAACTATTTGGGAGTCTTTGATAATCATGAGGACGATGCCGTGGGTATCTTGGTGCCTCTTCAGAAGATGTTCAATGAGGTACGATATGAGGTAGTTGGGTGTATGCTTCTTTTCGAAGCCAGCGATCCTCGCTGCTATTAGAAAGAGTACTAGAAGAATTCGAGACCAGACACAACTTTGAAGTTTACTTAGGTCCTAGCAGATGCTATCTTGAGTTGTGTTGACTAATGCTTTCAGGTTGGGTTGTGTAAAATATCAACCCTCGGCGTTGCCCCTCGTCATCTCGCATGAACTTGCTCAATTGAATAGTTTGCGCTCTTCAGTGGGTGACATAATGTGTCTGCCTGAAGTTCGAAGAAGCAATGTGTTCACAGGCAAGATCCCAGGGACAGGTTTATAGTACTCTGTTCAATTGAATTGGACACTCTGCCAAGTGAGTCTGCCCCAGAATCCGATTTTTGAGCGAGAGTGTTAGAAATAAAACTCCCCTCCTAAATGAGCGTTTAGCGTGCAAATATGTATGCCAAGTCAAGCCCCAACAAACACCCCAGAGATCATGGCACCGCCAGCGAATCCAATACCCATGGCCCATGATGCTCGAAGACCTTCCGTGTACGCTGCAATGATTTGAGGAGCAATATCCGCGGAGAAGAGTTTCCTCAGATCCGTGGATCCCGCGGCCAAGATCTGGGCTGCGGAAAGACTAGGGACGTTTCGCAGAGCATTCTGCAACATAATATTGTTGAAGAGGTTTTGAGTTGCTGACACCGCAAGTGCACCACTGAGAAGTTGAAACACTACGAGCATTCCCGACTATCAGTACGATGCTTTTCATACTTGTAGCGGTTTGAATGTCGGCCTCAGGGAAGACTTACGTAGGACGATACTTGTGGCCTGGGGCACATCTTGCACATCGACTGTAGCCTGAACAGCTAAAACTGGAACTTGAGTTCCTAAGCCATAGCCAAAGGCTACTATGAGCTGGTATAGTAGGTACTGAACTGGCGTAGAGTCCGGGCCAAGAGTGAGGATCAGCGTAGAGCCTAGAACGGTAAGAGCACCAGAGAGAACACAATATAGCCGGTCATTCCGATATTTGGAGTACGCCACACTGGACAATAGTGTGAGGAATGCTGCGATGTAGATGTTAGACTTCATGCAAGAAGAAGAATGGATCAAAGGCAATATGACTCACCTCCACCGATCAATAGGGGAAGAACGTTGACACCACTTTGTGCTGGAGTAAACCCTTTCGTTGCCTGGAAATAGACAGGCAGATTATACTGGATCGAGTACGCAACGGAGCTAAGCCTATGAAGTTGTTAAAGCAAAGTCCCAAGTATATCGAGAGATGGTCGTCCACTTACATGAATGCGAACACGCAAAGGAAGCCGATCTTCATGTTGGTCAAGAACCTTGCTTGTAACAGAGCATCCTCTTTCATGAAGTACTGCTCGAATCCGAAAAGCATGGCAATAGTGATCGACCCCATTAGCGTACCAACGACGAAGCCAGAGTCCCACTCATGTTTGATGCCTCCGGACTCCATTGCAGTGACAAATAGAGCAATGATACCGGTGATAAGAACGACACCTATCAGATCCATCTGACGCAAAATGCTCTTCCATGGCGCCCTGACGGTTTTGACAGTACTTGGAATCTTGAAGAAAAACAGAACAATAATTCCAGCAAGAACGGAAAACGGTATGTTGATCCAAAAGCTACGACGTGTAACTTGTCAGCGCTCCTCTCTTTTGTGCATCTTGGACACTGATTGGACTCACCACCACCTCCATGAGAACTTTTCTGTGAGAAAGCCGCCGATGATAGGCCCAAGTGAACTCGCACCAGTGAAGATGGCACCAAACGCGCCTAGATAGATTGGCGTTTTGCTCCGAGGCGTGACGAGCGCCAGAATAACATAGACGCCGCCGGTTAGACCAGCAGCCCCAATGCCCTGAACCGCACGCCCGGCAATTAGGAAGGCGCTATTGGGGGCAATAGCACAAAGGACACTTCCAACGGCGAAGATGATGAGCGCTGCCAGGAAGATCCACTTCGGAATAAAGAACTTGTACAGCTTGCCCCATGGCACTTGAAAACTCGCAATCGTCATCAGATATGCAGAGCCATACCAGCCGGCATCTGCGAGGGCTTTGAACTCGGTGGTAATGACGGGAATGGCGGTGGCAACGATGGTGGCATCGAGAGCGAACTAGTTCATTGAGTAAGACTGTTAGCTAGAAAAGTTCTTGCTTTGCCATGATCTAAGAATCTTTCGCCATTGCGATTATTGATCGTTGGGAATTTACCTCAAAAAGACCCAGTGCCAGTGCAAGTATAATTAGCACTAGAGTGATGCCCTCGGGATATTTGCCTTCATCTTCATCAGGTTTAATAGGGTCCGTAAGCCTCTGTCCATCGTCAATGTTGAATTGCAAACGATCCGAGAGTGTGTTATTGCCGGTCGAAATACGCCTCAAGTAGGGCTCTCTGTTATCGTCAAGATTCTGAAAGAACCAAGAATCCACCTTTGTAGATTGACTCTTTGCGGCGTCCATCGTCAACGTTTGGACTCTTTTCGTGAAAGGTATTCAATGATAGATTGGTTCAAATGTTCACTCTAGCACCAGGCGAGCGTAAAATGTGTTCTCAGTTTTCAAGGCTTGAGCAAGGATTAAGATCTACGGACTGGAGATCAGTGTAGTCCAACACCCCATGTCAATGAATATGACAAACATGACAAGTAATTCAAATCCAGCAGTTGCAAAAACTTTCGCAGCGGCATGCACGGAACGCCTTGCTATCTGACTACCCCGGAATAAAAGAGTTACACTGGTTGCTTGGCTCTGCCCACGACGCCGGTCTCTGGACTGTAGCATATTGAGATATCGTATAGTATGAAAGGTATGAAACCAGTACTGGGACTTGGCTCGGAGAGATAATCCCGGGCCCGCGACTAAGGTCCGGGCTGGTGGGGTAACCTCCGGAGCTCAGTCGGAGACATTTCCCTTGGCATAAGTGCCGGCGGACGCCCGCGGAAGCGCGAGGTTACATTTAAGAAGCTAGGACGACCTCCACCCCCCATCTTAGTAACATCGGATAATCGTGTTTAGAGATATGCACCGCGCGATTGAGGTTCTACAGGTTGAGGCTGGCGTGTGCGAGCCTTGCAAAACATGTTACAATGGACCTGCTGGGCTTGTGCAGGCCCTGTACAGAAAATGGCTGTTATTGGATCTTCAAAGAATCGGCGGACCTCAGATCCAAGAGGAGGTCGCTCAGCGACCAGAGGCTCATCTCCGAGCGTGAAATAAAGAAGTCATTTAGGCATCATCGTGACTCCGCAAGAAGCCGTTCTGCACAATGATATTTTTAGATCTCCAGATTCTAGGACGTCGCTTTTTGTTAGAAAACATAGCAAGCACCATTGATTGCTGAAGCTCCTGATACCGTTGAGCTCAGTCGAGAACCAAAAAATCGAAAAAACACATATTCAAACATGCCTCTTGGTGTTATTGACGCCAAAATTGGAGAGGATGCAGTTCTCACGGGGACTGTTCATCTCGTCAGAACATCTAGGATCAGTGATTCAGATCATGATGCTCCGAGCCGGAGTAGCACTCTCATAAGGACGAAGTACATGGTAAGACCACAGGTAACCTCCACGATCGTCTTAAACATCACATTGACATCCGGGGTAGGGAGTTGACACGGTTTTGGTCCCTCAACCATCCTTGAACGATCCAAATGACCCATTGGTGAGTCAAACCTTCCACATAACTGATAAGATTTCTCTGACGCACATGACGCTGGAAGCTCTGGGCCAATTGGCAGAAGGAAGCGGCTTTTTGGGTCATCTTTTTCAACACCATCATCTTCGCTTCGCTTCCTGGCCCTATGCTTAGCCCAGCAACATTTGCTCTCGCCCCCATCCTCGGCGCTAGCATCACCAAAGTTGCTGAGTTGTCTGGTTACCACCTTCTCGTTGTTGCGGCTATAGGGTTCGTAGTCCCTTGTTTCCACTTAGAGTTTTGTCTTTGCCTGAGACTGAGATTTAACATACGCTATGCCACAGGCCCTTGGTATCAATCCTTGCGCAAAAGTACGGAAAACGCCCGCAGTTCCTCTTCGCAGCCATTACTGGAACGCTTGGCACCGCGGTCTGCATAGCAGGGTCTCAGAGGTCCCAGTACAACACAATATTCGCCGGCCGTATGATTCAAGGACTAGGTGCTACCGCTTGGGAGAGCTTAGCGCTTGCAGCAATTGGGGATTTGTTTTACCTCCATGAACGCGGATGGAGAATCGCCATGATCGTCGCCTCGTCAGCTTGCACCGTTTCAATGACATCAATCATCAGCGGCGTAATGGCAGAGCGCCTTGGTTACAAGGTCCTCTTTATCGCCGAACTGCCATTCAATGTTGTAGGACTTATCATGACGGTAGCTCTGCTCCCTGAAATGCAGTTCAAGAGACTAGCTGTCACTCAGCAAGCCCTAGCTTCAAGTTCTCAATCCAACAGCGACGCGGAAACCACAGTCATCAAAGGGCAGCTCGACACGGATATCACAACCAAGAACACAATCGCCGAGACTGATGTTGTCACCGTCCAAAAGAAAACTTTGACACAGATGCTAGCGCCATGGTCTCGTCAGACTTACACGGATAAGAACATCATTCGCTTGCTAGCCGAACTTTTCATCAACTTCATCAACCCAGCTGTGCTATGGATTCTGACCGTGAGTGCGGTTCTCAATGCGTGTTTTGTGGCATCCAGCTATATCCTGTCGCAGATCTGGTCAATGCCACCTTACAACCTAAACATTGAGCAGAATGGCTTTTTCTGGGCTGGCGCACTGATTGGCGGTTTGTTTGCTATTCCTGTTGGCTCACTTTGCGACTGGTCTGCGATGATCATGTCGAAATGGAATGGCGGCGTGTATGAAGCAGAATTCCGGATCCCTGTCAACATACTTGGCGCTGCCTTGAGCGGGCTCGGCTGGTTCCTGCTCATGTGGGTAGTTGATCATCCCTCCGCCAATGGGTACTTCCTGGGGGCTTTCTGCCTAGGGTGTATGGCTTTCAGCATCTCGGTTCCCTCGACTTCTGCTGGGCTCTATATCTTGTGAGCTTCATCCGGTCTTTATCTGCTCTCGGAATATTGCCGGAATATCAGGCTAACGTCTGCCTCTTAGGGACACATTCCCACAACGATCCAGCGAGATTTTCATTCTACAAATGATGCTCAAGAACTTCCTGTTTTACTCTTTTTCGACCTTCATCAATACGTGGACTACTGAAGCTGGGCCTGGAACTGTCTTCATGGTCCTAGGGATTGTATCTCTCGGGCTTTTCACCACCTGCATTCCTATGTGTGAGTGAACAGGCATTTCTTAGCTTATATGAAGATTCTAACAATTGAACTCAAACAGACCTCCTTGGGAAGTTGAATAGAAAATGGATAGACAGCCTCTACGCCAAACACCCCTTCCTTCGAGAGTTGGCCGAGTAGTGGAAAATAGTGGCGGTGGTATGGGCTGTAAGGCACGATTCAGAGGTTACACAGATATAGAGGACTTGGGGGTGTGTTTGACCAAGAATCGATCCGCCTGAAACTAGATTGAAGATTTTAAGAACAATGGCGAGGTAAATGACGGTACATCTTGCCGAGAATTTGAATTCACATCGGAATATTCAATCTTAACTTCATTATTACATAACAATTATGAAGGAAAGCTATGGCTCAACTTGTCTCCTATCCGCTACATATGGTGTGATTGTCTATAAGATCTACTTTCCGGGCCTAAATCAACCCTTCAAGCTAAGGCGAAATCTCGGTCCAACCTTAAGGAAACACTGTAAGTATGTATGCAATCATATGTACTATGATTGAAATAACAAGACAATCAGGTTGCACAGTAACATAAAGAGTCAGGTATGGTAGATTAATGTCTTAGCTTGATTCGAAATGGTAAAGCTTTGTCACTCTTGTGAGAGCACACCCGATCCCTTCGATTTGTAACTATATAGATCTTTTCTGGAAGCGGACAACGACTTGGGGCAACTGATTCATAGCGTATCTTCTCAGATCTTGTTCCCAGTCCATCTCGCCTTGATTAATGTGCTCCCAGTCCAAGGCCCACACCATCTTGGAGATCATCAGCTGCGCCTGCAAGAGCCCCGTTTTGCGACCAACACAGCCTCGGGTACCAATGCTGAAAGGCTGGAATACAGAAAGCTTGTCATTTTCAAACTCCTTCTCATAATCTGGATGGTCTTTTGGAAGCCATCGTTCTGGGTGGAATTCTCGTGGTTTCGCAAAGTAACGCTCTGAGTGGAAGACTGCCCAGAAGCTGGTTTGAACTCGATACTAGATGAAAATGAGGGTTAGCAACAATTGGTCTACACAACGAGACGCCAAGGTTTTGAGATTACCCCCTTCGGAATGTAGTGGCCATCAACGAAGCCGCCAGGGCTGATGCGAGGTAGACCGGAAGTGCCCTGGGTGGCTAGTCGAAGTCCCTCGTTAATGACAGCATTGAGCCATGTGATATTCTGCACATTTTCGGATTTGATCTCCTCGTAGGAAGCGAATCGATTGCGAATATCTACCTTCAATTTTTCGAGTTTCTCTTGATATATGCCGAGAAAATGTACTGAAACCGTGAACATGTTGGAAGTGGCTTCAGCGTTGCCTATGACCACGTTCATGCTTTGTGCAACAAGAAAGTCGACTTCGGGCGGCTCTCCGCCGTCTTTAATAAGAGACGACATGAAGTCTTCGTGTTCAAGAGAATCCCTGATGCTGATTCGATCGTTGATATACTTACTATTGATGCGCTGGAGTTTCGGCGCCACTGTCGCCAAGCTAGGACTCAAGGCAAGCAGCACGAACGGGTATAGAAGGGGGAAGCGTGAAGAGACCTGGTTCACGGTGCCCCAGAAACTCAATTTGGAAAATGTTTCAAGGAACTCTCCGGCTTTACCTAGAATGATTTGATGATTCACTGGTCAGAAAATGCCGTTCCTCTCTGATTCCCGTAACTTACCCTTTTCTATGTTGCCGTAGTCATGTCCAAACGTCAAATCACCGGCAAGATCCATGCTAAGCCACTCGTTCCACTAGAAGGTCGACCTAAGTTTACACCCAACCTCAAACGCGATCTTCCTGCACTTTAGGTAGTTTCACTTACCTCTGTTAAGTTGATGGGACCGCTTCGGCAAGCCTCTTTGACCTTCCGAATGAATCGATCGTAATGCTTGTGTAAGACCGGCTCTTGCCATCGTTTGATTGCATTCATGTTGAAGCTTGGCTCCATGGCCTTTCTCACATGACGATGGATTTTTGGGTCTGTATCAGCAGCGAAACCTTTGTGCTTTCCTGCAAGGGCTCCGAGCTCTTCAGTTTTTAAAAAAGCCTGCTCATCATTCGTCTTCCCAGGCATCAAGACGTCTAGGGTGAAGGATATACTGTGAGCGTTTGATAGAGCCAGGGATATTCAGAACAAAATTAAAACGTACCGACAATCGGCTTGTACCCAAATATGGCGATCTCATTGGGCGCGACTCGTACGACATCGCCGTACTCTTCAAATGCCTTCTCGACTGCCCATGGCCAGCGACCTCGCAACCTACGCATTGTTAGATACCGGAATTAATCTACGAAGTGACGTGTGTTACCAATAATACGCAAACCACATTTCTGAGATTGCAGCAATTCTAGGGCCAGGATACTTTGCATATGGATGTAAGGTCAGGCGGTATCCTATCAATAGGAGCCAATATGCTGTGAACTGGGTTATTCTTAGTGGAGTCCAAGCCGTGATTCCAGAAATCGTAGTCCTTGTTGACTAACCAATAAAACGATGGATGACAGCCGTGAGCTGAATGATGCGTCTTTTAGGTGTTCCAGGGCAAGCTCGCTTATTCTTTTTGTTGATACAGCATGGAGCGCGTTGATGTTCAATTCCCTTGTCATCTTATCCATGGTTTTTGCAGTGACTTGGTTCTTGCCCAAAGTCGCAGTTCTTTCGCAAAACAAGCCTGGCAGCAATCGATCTTGCAGAGACTCTCGATTTTCTTCGAACAAAAGGATTTCTCTAAGAGGCAGATAATTGCGTGGCTAAATCGTAGAACATGGGGATCAAAGTTGACTTCGATTCAAAGAGGTACCACTGACAATAGTCCTGATGGCAGCAGGTAAAGGTCGATGCTTGAACTCCCAGCACTGTTTCTGCCCATCCCGGACGATACATCAAATCAAATCTTGGCTCATATCTGTCGCTCGTGTAGATCCCGCGACCGAGTCATTTGGAAAGTTTCGGCACGCATGGGTGTAACGGGCTCGGAGAGCATCGGACGTCTCGGAGACAGCTCCGGCGTAGACTCCGGTGCGAATGCCCTGTTGCGTACCTATGACTTGAGCAGTAATCGCATTGGACTCTTAGAATTGGATCACTGCTGACCAAACGGCACTTTGGTTTCTAAGCACAGGCCGCGGGTATGGTCCTGTGCAAACCCAACCCCAGACTGCCGCCCTCGTCAAGGAGATGCCTCAATGTTAGTAAGAACGACTTGAATTCTGTAGACATTTCTTGCTTGTCAACAAGGTGTGAACAAGAAACTTAAGACACAATCAGCGCGGTAGGCAGCAAATTTAGCCTTTATTTTTATTTACATCCCTACTTTATGCTCCAATCAGGGGGAAAGGGCTGGAGTGAGTTGGCGTGTTGGTAGAGCCCTTTGAATTACGATAGCTGCGAAATTCCACGCCCGCTTTAAATGTCGATGAGATATTTAGCAGCCACGCTTCAAAGTGAGAGACCAGACCGCAGTGATCTTTCCAAATGGCATGTTTTTAGAGTAGCCAGACTCTCTCTCCTAGGAGTCTTCATATGCCACCAACTCAATCATAGCATTGCAATACGTTCGCTGTTCCCTCAGTGCTAAAATTTGATCTTTCACAATATTTTGACCGTTCCCCCGTTGGCGCATACGGCGCTCCCGGACACCCATCTACTCTTCTCACAGCATAGCCAGCCAACAATTTCAGCAACATCATCTACCTCACCCAGCCTACTATCCACACTACACGCTTCCATCTTATATTTTATGAGTTGACGGACGGGCTCAATATCAGGTAGTCCTTCAGGTAGCCCGTTGGCCGTGTCACCAGTCTTCGTGACTCCGACGATTAGTGAATTAACGGTCGTCCTCTCCATGCCAGCCCTCGTCCCCAGTGCATCCGCCCAAACCCTTGTCATCGACTCTAGCGCTGCCTTACAGGCCCCGTAGAGTAATGTCACCGGAGCTGGCTGACTCTGGCGCGCTCCCTCAGACGAAATATTGACGATGCGGCTGTCTGGGACAAAGTGTGGTAATAGGGCCTGAATAAGTTGAACGGCGGTCGATATATTCCCTGTCAGCATGCGGCGCACATGTCCTTCATCAATGGCTTCAATTGGCATGGTCTCTTGCAGGGCTGCATTCTGTACCAGGATGTTGACAGTGCCACTGAAATGTTCCTTCACTGCAGCCACAATGTTGTCGCAACATTTGCTAGGCTCTGTGAGAGGTGCAACTACACCTAAAATTCGAGGAGTTGCGTGGTTCTGGGGATTTTGTTCTTGGTAGAGCGACGTGATTTCCTCCTGCAAGGAGATGACATTCTTGAGTGAGGTCTCGTTGGAGCATGTCGCTAATATGCTTGAGCCCCGGGAAGCGAGGTGGAAGGCTATGCCGCGCCCCAGACCTCTGGAGGCGCCACTAAATAGGATCAGCCGGGGACAAATTCAGTGGCCTCGAACCTTTGCTGCATCGCGCAGTTTGTCAAGTTGCAGGTTCAAACTCACGTCACGATGGCAAACTTTCCCGCCAAGTCTTGTTCTTGCACTGATGCATTCGGGAGAGTGTAATTCATGTTGACAGAATTGAAGAGTGTGTCTCCTGACGATGTTGCGACGGCTGGCGTAAGCTACAGTATTCTTAGGAGGAGGGGACAGGCTAGGTGTTTGTTGTAAGCTTGAGGGCTGGAACAGCATCAGGTGGGTTGCGCATCCATTCACGGGTTGAAAACTGCGTCTATAGTACATATACCAAGGAGGACCGCTGTGTTCTTCTGGACTTGTGTTGACTTAGTGGTGTGTGCCTCACTGTTTGAGCCAAGTCGGAGAAGCGGAGGCGGGAGATTAGGCACTTTTACCTGGTTCAGTCCGGTTCGGAGAGACGAAACATCCTGCTGGTTCGAAGGGCAGCGCATTGTAGCTGTAACCAAGTTATAGCTCGAAATTGTCACTTTCCACATCAGGAACGGCGTGGCTTCTGTACTGCGACCAATTCTAAACATTTTCAATCTTATTTGTGTAGGATTTGTATGGGTTTTGCTCAGACACTTCTTCAAGAACAGAATTTCTATTCTTCGTGCTGGATGATCTAAGAACGATTTGCGTGAACAGCGGGAATGATGAAGAAGCTGAAAGGCATCGAATAAGAAGGTCTACAAATCTGACAGTGCTATCTAGTTGCTTCCCTGAAAGTAGGCGAGAGCCTCTTCAATTTTCTCCCTCATGAGGTGCACATGTCCCGGCATCGGCATCTCAAGATGATCTGCATCGACAGACAAGCATTGTCCAACCTCTCCCACGTATTTGTCCCAACCATTAGGACCCAAGGCGCCCTCGGAGCCGCGCTTGTCAGGGAAGCCCCAAGCGAGAGCCCCTAAAGCTGGATCCTCCATGAACCCAGGATAGGCTTCGGCGGGAAAGCCCATGCCCACCATCTCGCGCTTCAGTTCAGGCTTGCCCTCACAGCGACCGCCCATACCCTTCTCTGCCCAAACAATGCTAGTCTTCTTGGGGCGTTGGTGAGGAGTCATGGGCTCCGGGTGGTAGGTTGCTACGGCTTTGAAAATCCCTAGCAGATGTTGCATCGGCGCAGATTCGGCCGTCGAGTTCCAGAATGCGTCCTGTGCAGCCATCTTTTGGAACATTTGCCAACCTACCTCGGGCTGGACTTTAACAAGACTCGTTTCGGTCTTGGTGCGTGGGGAGCAAATGTCGATAATCAGTAGGCCATCTACTTGACGACCGAGGTCGCCAAATTGACGGCAGACCTCATACCCGAGCATGCCGCCACCAGAGAAACCGCCGATGTACAATGCGCCCTGAGGTCGAGACTCATTCACAGCATCAACGATCAACTTCGCAGCTCCTCGAATGCCAACCTTGGCGTTCATCTGCTCTGGGCAGCGGATGAAAGGAGAATCGACACCATAGATTGCCGTCTTAGTGTTGAAGGGTGGTAGATGAATGTAGCTAGCAATGGTGCCAGTTCCGTCGGCGATCATGTACAATGGCGTCTGGTCTGGTTTCGGACGGCCGTGAAGCAGGATGACTCTCGCCTTCGGTGGTGGAGAGATTGTTTGCTGCTTTTTCGTCATAGAAGGCGGATCTGACTGAATTGGCAACAGCGCTCCACTCTCCGGCATCGAGATTGAAGTATCGACTGGCTTTCCAATATCTTTCTGATCAAGCAATACCCAGTGAGAGGGGATCTCCGGTGTCGGGCAGCTTGTAGACAGACTTTCATCTGACATCTCCTCCTCACTGACAGACGGCGGAGAGGTAGATGCCTGTGAGGATGACGATGAGTTAATAGTCTCAGTAGGTACGATTACATCGCCGAACGCCTTGCGCAGGTCACCAATCGTCGGATAGTCGATGAGAGTGGACACTGGAAGATCAATGCCGGTCTGCTTCTTGACAGCAGCGGTAATCTCGATGGCCATGATGGAATCAACCCCAACATCTGCTGTAGCAGTGTCATCCGTGAGTTGCGCTGAGTCTGTGCCTGTCTCTCTTGAGATACTCTCCAGAATAGAAGCAAAAACTTCATTCTGCGAGTTCAAGCCCTCTTCAACTTTGGTCATCTCTGAGGCGTCTGAGTGACTGTAGGCATGCTTCTTCGTCGGGGATTGCGGAGCCTTCACTGTTGCCACATTCGTGTTCGTTGGAAGTTGATAGTCGCCAGGTGCTGCAACTGATACTCTTGTCTTTCCCAGAAGGCGGTCTAGGACAGTGTTGCTGACCTCGTGAAACCGCAAACCTGAACATTGCATCACCATTTCCGATGAGTCAGAGTCGAAGACCCAAACATCGCAAGTTGCAGAGTCCTCGGTTCTGCGCGAGACTCTGGCGAGAGTAAGGTATGATTTACCCGGCACCAGAGCTCCGGAATCTGGTAGCTCAACGCTCTCAAGATTGTCCATCATAAACGTGGTATCAGCAGCACGTGGTCGACTTGGATTCGCGTTAAGCACAAAACCCGCCAGGTGCACTAGGCTTTCGCCGTGGTATGGTGACGAGGTGAAGCAGGTTCCGATAGGGCCCGAGCCCAAGATGATCTCCGCAGCAGCCTCCTGGAAATCATCGGATACATATGCCCCTTTGACACATCTGAAAGACGGAGAGTATCTGACGGTGTTCGAAAAGAGGGCGTAGAATATGTCTGGCTGGATCCTGTGGCCACGTCCCTCCTTGGCGCTCTTGATTACATCGTCCATCCTCGCCTGAATGAAGAATGATATCTTATCCCAACCAGCCTTAATGGAATCCGCCTCGCAGATGGATACTGTGCAGCTACCCAAAGTCTGCTCGGATGATTGGAAGGTTACTGTCGCACGATCATTAGAGAGCTTCTTCACATTCGCAGTTGTGACAAGTTCTTCAGTCGAGCTATTAGCCTTCTTGCGCAGTGGACGCTGGAGCGAGAGATTGAGGATCGTCAGCGCGGGCTGCTTCATATCTCGCTTCGTGCCCATGGCTTCGAACACGTGCTTGGCAACAGTAGAAGCAGCATCGCAGAACACACTTCCGGGGCAGATTGCCATGTCGCGGATTCGATGGCCTTCGATGAGGGCATCCATCCCTGGATCGGCAATGAGGGCCCTGAAGGTGGCCTCTGACTCACTGCTCGTCGACCTCTCTGCAACAATACTCTGCGCACAGGTAGATATTTGCTTCGGGCTGACTTTGGAATCCGCCGCGAGACTTCCGCGTACTCCGTCGCCCTTCTCGGTGTAAGTAATCCAGAAGTCTTGCAAGTCCCACGCGTACGTCGGGAGGGTCAACAGCTGAACGCTGCATGAGTAAGGGCCATATAGTCGGAGCCAGTCGATCTCTAATCCTTGATCATAAAGTTTCGCAAGGCATTTCGTGATAGACGTCCAGTTGTCCGCACTCTTGTCGAGCGTCGACATGATGGAGCCCGAAGACACGGAAGAACCCAAGGTTGCCTGTACAAAGGAACCGCAGACTTGGCTCGGCCCCAGCTCGACCCATACCACATCGCCTAAACGTTCCTTGACAGCTGTGATAGTGTCCGTGAACTGCACACTCTGACGAGTTTGCTGGCCCATGTATGCTGCATCAAAGGTTCCTGGGGTATCGACGATCTTCGCAAGTAGAGTAGAAGCAACTGGGATCTTGGGCGGCGAGTACGTTATCCCTCGAGCAATAGTGACGTATTGATCCAGAATGGGGTCCATTTGAAAAGAATGAAAAGCGTATGGAACGGGTAGCATCTTTGGACGGAATTCTGTCATGTCCGCTGCAAGCTGCTCAACATCATCCTGTAATCCACCGACAACTGTGGTGCGTGGACTGTTAGAGCAAGAGATCGAACAGAACCCGTCTTTTCTTGCATCAATGTAGCCCTGCGTGACTTCAGAGGATGCAGCTAGTGCCAACACTAGAGGTTACAAGAAGTTAGTAAGTATTCTTTAGGCGTACTGCTTCAAGTTCGGAATCACTTACTTGCACATGCGCCAGTCTCGCATAGTTCGCCAAGTAACTCTGCGCGTTTTCCAACTAGATAGAACACATCGGTTAGGGAGAGAACACCAGCAACATGAAGAGCGGCATATTCGCCGAGGGAGTGGCCCATCACCACGGACGGCTCAATGCCGGCTGCTGAACGCCACAGAGCAGCCAAGGCAATTTCCAAAGTCAAGACGGCAAGCTGAGTCTGGGCAGAGAGCTTCATGGATACGTCAATGGAACGCTCTATGATGAGGTCCAAGAACGGTGGAAAGCCATAATCGGCGCAAATTGTGACGCAGTGATCAACCGCTTCCCGGAAGACATGACTTGTCTTGTACAGCTCACTGCCCATGCCGCCATAGTGGGAACCCTGACCGGTGAAAACGAAGACAACCGGCTTGGAAGCGGAAGGCTTCATCTTCACGGCATCCTTCTCGGCGTCAATGTCTGAACTCAATTTGGTAATGAGTTCTAGTGTCGATGATGCGGTGTATGTGGATCTGAGAGGGTGATGCGTTCGCCTTGCGGTAGTTGTGTAAGCAACGTCTTGAATACGGGCGGTGGGATTCGCCTGAAGGTATTGAAGAAGCCTGCGTTGGTTGGAGCGCAGAGATGCTTGCGTCTTCGCGGACGTGACAACGACGTGATTCGACCACGGTACTTGCACGCCCTCATCCGTAGACCGCGTATGTCTGTAGTCCTCGATAAGCAGACAAGCGTTCCCACCCGCTGCATCAAAGTTGTTCAGCATCACCCGCCTCGTACTGTTTCCAACAGGCTTGAAATCTTTCGCCTCGGAAAGAATCGATATCTTGGAGGCTTCAAGCGAAGGGAACTTTGGGTTCAGCTTCTGCGGCATGCCTGCTTGTGGGGGAATTCTATCATTCTGAAACATTAACACACACTTGAGCAACGATGATATTCCAGCAGCCTATTTGATTTCTCGTTAGTCTCAAACGATCCACAATTGGCAACTTTCTGGTACGCTTACGGCTTCGCTATGGCCAATATTGGCCTTGATAGATCCGACTATCAATGGATCGCCACGACGATATTTGAAGACGTTGGACACCGCACCTATCTCAGCGGGGTCACCAATTTGGGTCCCGGTCCCGTGCATCTCAACATAGGATATCTCGTCTGGAAGAACGCCAGACCGCCTCAAGACCTGGCGGTAAAGCCGTTCTTGCGCGCCGGCATCCGAGGTCGTGATGGACGGAGAATTCCCGCTATGGTTTCTCCCTGAACCACCTATGACAGCAAGAATATTGTCATTGTGGGCGATGGCATCGTCAAGTCTCTTGAGTACCACGCTTCCGACGAAGTCAGCCCGACAATAGCCATCGGCGTCCTCGCGGAACGGTTTGCAATTGCCAGTGTTGGACAAGATACCAGATTTGCTAAGACTCGTCCAGGAATGAGGATATCCGACGACATTTGCAGCACCGGAGACAGCCATGTCGATATCGTGTGATAGTAAACTCATGCAGGCGAGATGAACGGACGATGAAGTTGATGCGCATGCCGAATCTAAGGAATACGTTGGTCCCTCCCAGTTCATCTGGAAGGCAAGACGACCAGCTCCGAATGCTCTCTGTGCTCCCTGTAGGGTATATGCATCGCATCCCTTCAGATGATGTGCCATAGCATTCCAGTCATCGTTGCTTTGACCGAAAAATACGCCAATTCTGTTCGGGTCAACATCTCTTGTCTTGCCGTCGGAATACCCAGCCGCCTCGAGAGCCTCATATGAACTCATGAGAAACTGTCGATGCCCAGGGTCCATAAACATTGCTTCTCTAGGAGAGATGCGGAAGAAGCGAGCATCGAAACCTCCGGGCTTGTTCATGAAGCAACCGAATCGAGCCGCTGTTGTGCATTTGACGCCATCGTGACTATGCTCTGCTGCGAAGAACTCGTTGAGGTCAAACCGATCCGGAGGGATCTCCTGATGAAGATCTTGACCAGTCATGAGAACATCCCAGAACTCGTCTAGGTCATTACTGCCAGGGCCTCTTCCAGCCATCCCAACGATGGCTATGCGACCAGATGGACGATCTTGCTGACTACTCTGGTTGGCGCCTATTTCATGCTGGACACTGATTGATCTTCCCTTCTGTTTCAATGCTGTAGAAAGGTAGGAAGTGTGACTGCTGGTGCCGATGACTTTGATCTCGACTTGCCGGCAAGATCCAAGATGCTTGTTCATGTCGGCGACGACCTCTACGATATCGAGAGGCCGAGACACAGATTGCGAAACCGCAGTTCGTAGCAAATCACCAAAGGTCTCATAAGTAGCCGACGGATCGTCGGTACCCCAGACTCTGTGTTGTGAGTCGAGTTGACTCTTGACAAAGGTAGACTCCCCAACAACATAGTCGAGATCAGCTGAGGTCATTGGGATAGCGTGTTGGAGGGATCTGATATTAAGCTTATTCCTTGGAAGGCCACTGACAGCTGGGCACTCATTCAGAAACTGCTCCAGGATAGACGGTGGGCCGATGATGCTAGCCCAGCGGTCTCCAGTGACACCAACTTGTGCCTTTTTCGCTATTGGAATGCCCTTCCAAGCCGGTCAGTGAGTCTTCCAATGAGAATTCGCTTATAATATTCATCTAGACTTACCAGGTTCGTCTGGAACTGCTCCAGAGCAGAGCGAAGGTCCTCGTTCGAGATCCCTAGGACGGCCCAGCCCCACGTTCCAGAGCGATCTTCTGTAGCTCTTGACCGAATGTAGCAAAATCTGCAGACCCTGCACAGAAGACCAGCCGCCTCAAGACAGCCGGCGTAGAGAGTATCAAAGTCCTTGGCAGCTGCCAATGGTGATAGGCTCATAAGACCTCCTGAAATGCCCAGCCACTCGGGCCCATCATCAGACTTTGCCAAGAGATTGGGTTCACGCTTGATGCATCTGTAAACTTCATGTCAGTCTATCGTCCTTGGATATCACTCAAAGTTTGGGACATACTGCAGGAGCATTGCTGCTCTCATTGTATAAATGAGGATTGCATTAGCAACGCCGGTCTCGTCGATTTTATGGCGGTATTTCTCAGCCAATTCGTATATGCTCGAAAATTCCCCAAGACTCTTTGTGATAGGGCTTTCAAAGTTGCTCAGCTCCGATTTGACCTTCTTGCACAGATCACTCATAAAACACTGAAGCCATGGCGCCAGGCCAGCCTGCTTCATGATGTAGTCGATGCCATCGACCCACGGATCGGTCTGGTCACCGAAGAATAGAATCGTCTTCTGTGAGTGTGCCATCTTGGTCATCAATGATGGCAACAAATTCCAGGCGTTACTGAAGTCATACGGGAGAAGGGCCTTTCATTTGGAACGTAAAAAGAACTTCTTTGATGGGCAAGGGACCAAGTACTAACACAATTGGACTTTGGGAGAATCAAAGGTAAGGAGCTACGGCGCTATTCGTGTCTATCTGTAGTTTTCTCAATTCTCAGAGATATTAAGTTGTAACTCGAGACAGCCATCTCAACATCGCCGACAGGCTCACTTAGCTGTCGACATCTGGTGACCCTAACACACAAGACTGTCCACGAGAGATAGAGCCTGTACGAAGACCGGTGTCCCAGTTAGGAAAGTCGTCTGGAACTGATAGCGAGTTTTCTTCTGTTGTTTTCATGAAACCTCCGATTGAACCAAGGTTTCTTGGAATCATGGTTCAGGTTGAGACAGCCAGCCGGCGGCGATTTCCGAACGCCCGTATGTAGCTTGAAAAGTAGTCAAGGCCTGGCTCCGGACTACCTCCGCCATGCACAAGCCAGGTCAGTGCTCGTATAGAGAAAGCGGCGACGCGGCGAAACTAGAATATCGATGCTTAACATGGCACATATGATCTACGTCGGCCATAAGCAAAGTCGATGTTCCAGAATCCGAAGCGAGGGGCTGACGAGCGCCCGAGCCTGCGGAACGCCTCAGCTTCTGGGACGCCAAGATCTCCCGTCATCCGTACTTAGATTTTGATCCTCAGTCAAGCATTAAGTTTACAATGAGACTCAGGCATATGTGGGATTGACACTGAGTATAATTGCTTTTGTATTGAAAACGAGTCATTGGCCTGTGAACATGCTATGTCTTGAAGCATGCAAGTATGCGGTCGGCTAAACTAAGATACGGGTTCGTTATGCCTGCAGTGCGCTTCCGCCAGGCATTTCACGACTCGGGTTAAGTGCCGGAGACAGCTCGTATGTGGCCGGAGGAGAAGTCCGTCAGATCGGAGACCTATGTTTGTCCTGCTATGGATCAGAAAAGCCTCTATGTCGTATCCAGTCAGGTCTCAGCCTGTAGTTCCTGAGACAAGCCGTAAGCAGGCCATACCTAGGCTCTCATCATTCGGCTTCTGTTCGTCCCTAATTCTTGGCCACAAAGCTATGGTGCACCGACATCTCGGTTCAATATGCCGGCCGAGTTGGCTGGACAGAGGCCGGAGTCGATCAACACAACACTCTGAAGACGCGGTGCCAGGTTTCAGATCTGAATAACCTCCCGGCATTTGTGTGCGGATTCAATTGATGATATGGTGACAAACCAATTGGAAATGGAAATGTAAGGCAAGAGAGCGAGAGTCTCCGAGGAAAATGAACAGCGAATTTGGCCAATCAAAACGTATTCAACGTGTCCTAATACAGCTTGATGTTATCATGCCAAAGGGTCCTGTGCCGTTCGATACGTTTAATTCATGTTCGACTACCTCACCTCAACTGAGTTAGCTTTGCACTTTGCAAATAGCATCTTCAATCAATAAGTTTTGCTAGGGAAGGAAAATTGCAGACTGTTGAATGCAGAATCTTCGTTTTCTTACGCCCTTATCCACGATGTCTCTCTTCGCAAGCCTTGCTGAACTTCAAGGTGTCAGCCGCTGGGCGGCCTTGATATCCGGTTTGGTGAGATATCGCGACTTCTCCAGGTCTATACTTGGCTGACAAAACTAGGTTGCGGCGTACTTGTCCTGTTTAGCGGTCTACAGGGCTTTCTTTCATCCGCTCAACAAATATCCAGGTCCAATCTTGAACCGCTTGACAAATCTTCCGTTTGTGATTGCAGGAGTCAGAGGGCAGCTACCATTTTATGCAGAATCTTTATTCAAGAAGTACGGTCCAGTCGTCAGAATGGGGCCCAATAACCTTGGCTTCATCGACGGAAACGCCTGGAGGGACATCTACGGCATACGTCGTCGCGGTCAATTTGAGAAAGCATACGAATACTACCGTGAAGGACCGGAAGGACCCATTAGCTTGCTCAACGCTGGCCCCGAGGAACATGCGAGACTACGCAAGTGGGTTTCGCCGTATTTTTCTGATCGTGGCATGAAGGATCAAGAGCCGATGATTGGCGGTTACGTTGACTTGCTTCTCAAGCGACTTCATGAGAACTGCGATGATGGTACCCGGGCGCTTGATCTCCGTGACTGGTGTGAGTGCTGGGAAGACATCTGCCGAAGTTCAGTCTGATGCTAATATTGGGCTGTCAGTTAACTTTTGCACATTCGACATCCTTGGCGAACTTGCTTTTTCCAGCTCTTTTGGATGCCTCGAGTCAGCAGAATATCATCCCTGGGTAAAAATTATTGCATTTCAGCAGAAAGAGATTGAGTGGATCGGTGAGCTGAACCGGCAAGGATTGAGGTTCATCACAGCTATCATCATGAAGATACTCGCGAAGAACAAGTTGGAATTTATGGGTTACACGATTCAGAAGTTACAAAGTCGCATTCAGTCGGGTAAACAAGCAGATATCATTGAGTCCCTGCTCAATAACAAAGAAGAAATGGTACGTTCGACCCTATTTTCGCCCTGAATCTTGCTTAATGTTGGACGTGTCATCATACTGTCTCAGATATCAGGGCAGAGCGAGACTAATCAGGGAGAGTAGAAGCTTGACATGGAACGCCTTGTCCAGAATTCGACGCTTCTCATCGCGGCTGGGTCCGAGACCACAGCCACACTGCTCACGGCGACTTCGTTTCTTTTGCTATCGAATCCTGAAGCATATCAGAGAGTCGTAGAAGAGGTCAGGTCTTCATTTTCTGATCCGTCAGACATCACTCTTCTATCCGTCAACAAACTCCCTTACATGTTGGCCTGCCTGGACGAGGCGCTGCGCGTGTTCCCAGTAGTTCCCTCTTGGTTACCCCGACGAGTCACGCATGGTAGCGCTATCATTGATGGCAATATCGTGCCCGAAGGTGTAAGTGACCCCTCTACTGTGCAAAGTGCCACTTTATTACCAGAAAGGCTCTGACTCTCTGCATGTTTGACACAGTGTCTTGTCGCTACTTGGCAATGGGCGATGTATCATAACGAACTGAACTTTACTAAACCCTTAGAATATCATCCCGAGCGTTTCCTCGGAGATCCGCGCTTCGCGAATGATAGGCTGGATGCATTCCAACCTTTCAGCATGGGCCACGCAGACTGTGTTGGTCGCAACCTCGCATACTCTGAGATGCGTCTTATCCTGGCAAGGATTTTGTTCAGCTTCGATCTCAAGCTAGCTGACGTTGGCAGTGACTGGATTAAGGGTCAAAAAGTTTATATTGTGTGGCAAAAGCCGTCTTTAAATGTGTATCTCAAACCAGTCAAGCGATGAGGCAAACTTTAATACAGCCTTGAAGCTTGTGGCAAAACATAGCCGTGCACGTAGTGGAGGCTTTCCAAGCATTATGTATGTACTTCGTAGGCATATTGCAACCAAACACGGAAAGTGGGCAGCACATAAGCCTAGCGGAACCATAATTACCCATCAGAGCATATTGTCTGCTCGGATCCTGTACAAATACAAGGCCTCAGTTCGAGGTCATAGGCTTGAAACGACCCTTCGTACAGCTTTGACTGCGGGGAAGACCCTGACGTTGTTGGAGTACATTCCACTGAGACTCACCCTAGGGCTGAAGCAGGCCTTGTTCTGGCTATTGCTCAATGCTGTCGGTGGCAGACATTCTGCCAAGCAAGTTTTGACCGTAGGAGACTTTGCTTCTGCGACGCGGCTGGGGCATTATGTGAACTGCGTTGAGGCGAAGCGCGGAAGACGGCCCTGCAGTGGGATACCGTGGAGTTCATCTTTTTTCAATATTATCCGCCGTTTTGCTTGTTCGCAAGAGTCCTCTATCCGATTTCGATACTTTGCTAGATCATGTCAATTGGGTTTTAAAACCTCGCAACTGTGTTCAGGCTTGCTTTTTGGCCACCTAGCCTATAGGTCTGTGTGCAACAAACAATTTCGACATACTCCGAGATCTCATTGTTCTCAGTATTCGCACCATAGAACTACATCCGTTGAAAGTTCTCCGATATATGTTATAGGGATCAGGTCTAGCGACATCGCTTAATCCTGGCGCGTAGCAGCTTCTACGCGTCTATAAGTCTGACTCGTCTCAAATATTGTCATGTCAACTGAAAGTGACCGGGCCAGAAACAATGACAGGCCTTGCCGTCAAAACCCCCCGGGATGCCAAGATTAAATCTCCGCATGTTCTAGCTGCTCTTTAGGCCAGTGGGGCGTTTACGCGCCGCTCATGCTTTATTGGGCCGTGACAACAGACTTCACAGGTTGAAACTATATTGACACACTACTAAGATGCCATTTTACCGACGAGACTGGTTCACGCTGATTTTCTACCGTTTCTAGAATGTTGCCGGCCCTGCATCCCTGACCGGCAGTCAACCCTCGATTTATCGGCGGATCGGCTTGGTCTAAAGCAATGTCTTGTTGCCCACAAAGACTAACACAAGCCGCCGCCACTCTTCTATTCGATTCCTCTCGATCTTATCCGCATTCCCAACTTCGACTCATTGAACGATGGCAACCACAATTCAGTCTCTGCCTGTTGAAAACTTTCCTTTTGACTTCGATATGTCTCGGACGACTTGTCATGAAGGCGACCCTGGGGAGGTGAAGAACTCAACAACCGCTACTAAGCGGCGCCGCGGCCCACTTACCCGCAACGCCTGCAAACATTGCCGGATTAAAAAGGTGCGCGAATTCCGATTTTTCCTTTCTTTGAAGATATTTTCAAATAAAGCATGACAGATAACTAACGTTGCTTGTGAACTCGTAGTTGAAATGCAGCGGCGAGAAACAAGGATGCGGCCGATGCAGAGCCAACGGCTTCGACTGCCATTACGAAACATCGAATCCCAATTCAAAGAGGCGCTTGACGATTGCCGATTTTACACCTTCTATGTCGCCTTGGGAAAGGGAAGATAGCTTGACCGCCGACAATGCCATCACCGCGGAGGAAGACCAAGATCCACATGACCCGGAAAACATCGACCGCTTGGTCTTCCAGCCAAGAGCCTTTTCTCCCTTTCAAGCCGAAACATTAGATGACATGTTATCAACGGATGTCCTTGATAGTTTTATGAAAGCCAGTGGTAAGCTAATTGTCTATTTCGCTTGCCGTCAGCCAGTCAGTATCTGAGTGTTCATAAATTAACCATCCTATTACACAGGGAATCAGCCTTTCATGAAGGCAACCCTGAACAGCCCATCGACGTCACCTCGGATAGATCCGATGCTTTCCTGTCTCAATACCACAGACTGGCCCAGAGTGGTTTCTTTGGGCTCAGATACAGAGAGGCCTACAGCCCATGCCGAAAGGCGGAGGAAGCACATACGGGAGCCATCAAGTCATAATCAGGAGTGGCCTCGGAATAGCCAGCGTTCTCGGCATGACCAATCGAAGCAACACCAGGATCGGGACAGTTCCTCGTGTTCATGCTACGCGCGAGTCTTTCTCCAGCATGAGGACGTTAGCTCCAACCTTCTCTGGAGTATACGCAGTAAAGCCCCTGCGCCACCCGCAGAAATGCTGCGGTCCTTGAAGCGAACTATGGAGGGCCTCGATTCCTTCTTTGATTGCAGCACACATTCCACGCGCCCGGAATTTGTCGCCTTGCTTGTATCCATGTGCGATATGATGCTTGGTGGCGTCGAGTATTTGGTACCGAAGCTTTGCGTAGACGATGACATCAATGATGCTTTTGCAGACGATGACTCGGATACATCCAGTTCCCATAGTGACTCGAGGAGACGTTCTAGTAGTAGGAGTGGCAGCGTCAAGTTTACATCGCAGCCGGCGTTCAGGTTGAGCCAAGGAACATTGGACAAAGAGGACGAGCTTCATGTGCTTCACAGTTTGGTACGAGTTCGGACTAAGCGACTAGGACTCCTGATTGACAGACTGTATCACACGGTGGATAATAATGGAAGACCTATACATAGACATACTGTCTGCAGTTTGCAGGACCGACTTAGAGTAGTGTCATTAACATTAAAGAGAAGCCAGATATAGATAGCTGCTTACCGGCGGATCAGATGGATGGGCAATTAGACTCACATAATCAAAAACCTTGCCCATCACGCGAATTCTAAGCACATTTGCATGTGTGATCGATCACGCTCGTTGGCTTGAAATATCAGACCTATGACTCAAGTTCTGCAAAGATCAATGATGCCGAAGTCTCCATGACCTCCTAAGCGCGTCAAAGGTGAGGAATCATCTGGATCCAAGACGGCATCGAGTAGACACCGATAGGGACCTGCCTAAGACTAATGAAGGCCTCAACAACTATGAAAACCCGGGCAACGAAGTGAACTCCAGCAAACAACGAAACCGTAAAGCCTAAAATGCATATCCCCGCCATGCGAGAGCCTACCGACAGGGGTGATTTCCGCACTTCTTCCGAAAATACATCAGGGTCGATGTAAACCCGCAAAGGTCTTCCGATGTATGCGAAGAACAAGAAGTAAAGCCCCACCCAAGGTATAAACCCGATAATAATGAGACAGGATACCTTCCACATAATCTCTTCCTGTCGTGAGGCAAAGTCATAGTCCCATGCCGAAAGATGGATGCCGCCATAAATAGTAGGAAAGAGACCTGTTCTAAGCAAATTGTACCAAGTGAGCTCCTCGCCGATAGCTGAGAGAAGGAAACGGAAGACCTCTGTTGTTGACCCCAGGCCTTCATTAGGATCGCCTTCTCCGGGGTGACTGAAACTATCTTGGAATACCGAAAGAGTCTCGCGCATGTTACCCCCTGGCGCAAAACATTGACTGTAAGTCTTGTCCCAGAATGGGTCAACATCAGGAGCTGCCAAGGAATTCTGTCGACTCGACCTTAGGTGCAAGGCGGCTCTTTCGGTCCTTGTTATATCCGAAGCATTGAGAAGAATGCTTCTGTCCTCCGCGAGTCGACTCTTCTCACGCCCGAAGACGAGACCTACATGGAGGTAGCCTACTCCACAGGACAAAGCTTGGCCTTCACTGATGCGAACGCCATCCGTTGTCGGAGTTATCCATTGAACAGGTAGCTGTTCACCTTGGTCGTTGGTGGCGACCTTACATCGACTACTTCGAGGGTCTTGTTTTCCGAAGCTGCTCTTAGCCACTATGCTCGGAACTATGGGTCGATCATCTCCTTGGACAGGATACAAAATTGCAGTCTCAT